CCCAAACTTTACATTGTGTGCGAAAATGTCTCCCAACTTTAAACCGGAATTTGGTAGTTCCTTAAGTGTGCTTTTCACGCTTATTGAAGCATGCTCTAAGTCACGACTCGCGCTAGAGAATACATTTTAGGTTGAGCTGAAGAACAAGAAAAAAGTAATATTTTGATATCAATTTGTTGGAAGGATTTGATGAGTGTCAAACAAACTAAAAAAAAATAAAATTTAAGATATAAATTTAAGAAAAGAAAAATGTACTCTCAAAACTCAACTTCTATTATTCAAATTTTTTATATTGATGAAATACTACAAATGAGCAACATTATTATATATATTTGGTACATAAGAATTAATTGTTAATACATGAATTTAAATATTCATTAAAATTCCTAGATACATGAATAGAAATAAATTTATTTATAAGAACTTTAGATTAATGTAAATTAAGATTCACCAACTCAAGATTCATTGAGTCTAAATTAATGTGAATATTAATTAACTGAGAATTATTTACACGAAATTCATACATGACAAGGATTTTATAATATTTATTACACATTGAAAACGAAAAAATAATGTATTATTGAAATAATTGACTTGTACTATGATTAAAATGGTCCAAAAAATGATTCTCACCTTATATGTTGGGTAATATATATTATAGATTTGAAGATTACTGTTTTGAAAAGGTAAAGTGATTTAAAAAATTTCCCTCTTCCACTGAAAATTGACAGTTATCACAAATCAAAATCAACTTTTAACACCTAATCCGCTTTTTGCTGACTCAGAAGTTTTGCTTTGACAAATCCAAACCCAATAATGGAATTCCATGGTTTACCAATAATTAAATCTCGCATCATATGACCCCTCAACAATAAATCAATCATCAAATGTGAAACGATAAAAAAAGTGTGACCCAAATTCTTTCCCCTACATTTGGAAAATCAATTGGGTTGCATGGTGTGGGGGGGTGGGGGTGGGGGGGGGGGTGTTATGGAGGTGGAAGTAGGCAGGCATGGTTGAGCTGGTCGTGCAAAATGTGCTTTTCAACTTCCGTGTGGAGCGGTTATCTGTTTTGTATTGTCACGACATTCCATGACTTCGATCCTAGTGTGTAGAGATCTTCTGNGTGCAAATTTTCCATTTTTTTTGGGTGGAGTGGGATTGGCACTCATAACTGAGAAAGATGAGTGTGCCTATCAGGAGATGATTGCCCATCTCCCGCTGTGTTCAATTGAATCACCGAAAAATATAAGTGTTGGTTTCTCTTTGTTTCTTTGAACACATCATTTGGGTGATTAAAGTAATACCACAGCACTTTTACTCATTTTTTTTTTTATAGTTTTAGACTTCATAGGAGTATCAGCTCGAAGCATATTTTAACACCCACTGGAATTTCTCTTCTCGATGACCTCTGAGTGCTAGCTATTGAAGACAAACTTTAAATAAAATTGTTTCCTCTCTAAGAGTTTAAGCGTTTAGAAGAGATAGTTTTAACATGGCATCAGAACGGGCAAAAAATTTGGGTTCAAGTCTCGTCACCATCCATTTATAAATTTTGTGCATGCATAATGGCCTTTAGGTGGAAAAAAAAAGAAGAAAAAGAATCTAGTCTACACATGATGAGGCATGTTAAAGACTAATTTTGAATAAATAATAAATGCAACCCCTCTCTAACAACTACTTTTAGATGAGATGGCTCAAAACTAGCATCCCAGTGATGCCCTCTACTAATTTTGGGATAACCACATTTGAAAGTAAATAAAGGGGTTTCCTTAAGTTGCAAGCTTTGCATATCTTTTCCACCTTATTTTGACACCACTGGTTTTTACGCTCCTGTTGATTATGTGACTACAGGTTCTGGTTATAAGTGGTGGTGATGGTGGAGTCCTTCGGGAAATATCTCGTCACAGCTCTGTAGAGCTGATAGATATTTGTGAGATAGATCAGATGGTTATAGATGTGAGTAATTTGATTTTATCTTACATTCACAAAAGAAATACTGTCAATGGCCAGATTTTTGTTGGTTCATTACATAGCTGTCTATAATTTGTTGTATTATAGGTAAGTAAGAAGTTTTTTTCCAGAGTTAGCTACTGGTTTTGAGGATCCTCGTGTACGACTTCATGTTGGTGATGGTATGCTGAAAACCTCTCAACATCTCTTCATGGTGGAGAATTGAAAATATATGGACCCCAAATTTTAATGATTCATCTATATGTTCTTTCGCTTTTTGTTTCTTCCACCCGCCCTCGATATGTAAGAAAGATTTTGTCGAGTTTATTTGACCTCAATGGGGCTTACCATATCATGCAACGCCATCGAATACAAAAAAGATTTTGTTCTACTCTACAACAAAATTATGTTTATCCATTCATCTTCAAGTACTATGTTACATTTTTGAATAATATTGGCTTCTTGATTTTGACAGCTGCTGAATTTCTAAGGCACATGATGCAATTATAATTGATTCATCAGACCCTGTAGGCGTGTGTTGGCTGTCATATTTATTTGTTAGCAAGTCTCTTTCAGGGCTTCATTACATCCTCTCTCCATTGTTGTTCTAACTGTTTCTAGGTTATTTCTGTTTTCAAGTGAATGAGTGATTGAGTTCGACGAGTTTTTTTTAAATTTCTTTCATATACTGCTTGTATGCAGTTTTTGGTTAATTAAAATTTATAATTATAACAAAAATTTAAAGTTTACCTTTTCTTCTTTATATTCCATTGGGTTGTTTATGTTTCTACATGTACATCATCTCTGTGGATGTTGTTCTATGCCCAGTGAATGTGAAAGCATTACGTGAAGTATAAATGTTTTCCCGGGCAACTTGAGATTCATTTCCCAAATCTGAAGTCCCCAACACCACATTTAATTCCTATTTATTAGTCATTTTCCATCGTAGGTCACCCTTATATCCAATGTCTTTATCCCAGGATCTCATTCTTTTGTTTTCGTTCTCAACCTCCTGCTCAGGAGCTCATGAAGCAACCATTTTTCGAGACCACGGCTAGAGCATTAAGGCCTGGTGGTGTTCTATGTAACATGGCAGAGGGTAAGTGACTCCATACGCATCTGATTCAGGACATGGTTTCTACGTGCCGTGAAAGTGAAAGTTGAAACATTCAAAGGTTCTGTCGATTATGCATGGGCAACTTGGGCAAGTGTTCCTACATATCCAAGGTACAATTTAGCCGATACATAAAGATTTATATTAAGACATTTTTGGTTAAGCCTTTAAAAAATGAAAGTACTTATAAGTAACTTTTTTAAGCTTAGCCAAACATATGCCAAAACTCAAAGTAACATTTTATTTGCCATCCATGTTGCCAAATGGTGGGTAGAATTAACTTTTTGTTCAAATATTTTCTTCTTTAAACGCAAGCATTTTCCTACTTTTTGAACGAGCAGTTTTACTCTCTTTTAGGCTTTAGCCAAACATTCTCAGAGTTCTGTTACTTCCTCTGCATTTCATGTAGAAGTTACTTCAGATTGCCTATTCATTTCATGTCGAAGTTAGTTCTCCTTCAACATTTGACTATTGCTATATGCTAACGATTTTCTTTATTAGCTAAAAATAGCATGCTTTCTTTATTTGTGAGGTTTTATATACTCATTAACCTGGCATAAATTGGTTCTTATTTAATTTTTGCATACTTTATGGAGTAGTGTAATAGGATTTCTGTTATACTCAATGGAAGGGCCATCCGTTGACTTTATGCACCAACCTATCGAGAAGCTACCCGGTGCACTTGAGTATCAAAGGGAACTCAGATTTTACAACTCTGAGGTGCTTTCTTTTCCCCTAAGCCCTTGTTTGAGCCTCATTTTTCAAAAACCCATTTTTTCAAAAACTCATTTTCAATTACGCATTCTCCAAGAAAATAATTTTACACTTAAATCGAAAACTTTTTCTTATTTTTTAATCATACATTCTCCTGAAAAACACTATTCCGAAATAAAATTTTCCGCAAAATGGGGCTCAAACAAGGGCTAAATGTCTACATTGTTGACCTTAATATGAAAATCCTTTGATACTGCTAATGAGGTGATTACTTGTTTGCTTGCACGTTCGCTACATATTAAGTGGCATTGGCGAAGTAGAAAAGATGGCAACATCAAGTACAATAGTTCCTCGTTTTTTGTATTCATTACATCTTTTTCGAGAGCATGCAATGAAAATGAATACAACTGAAGATTATATTACAAGAACAGTTTGTTGTGGGATCATAAGACTCTCCATTGTCGAATGCTTGACAGATTCACAAAGCTGCATTTGCCTTCCCTCTTTTGTCAAGAGGAAGGTGAAAGCTCTACAAGATTTCTCAATCCTGCCAGGAGGAATCCATGTGCTCATGTTCCTTCTCCTTGTATTTGGGATATTTACACGTGTTTTGGAGTGTGGACAGATGGTTATTGACAAAATAGGACTTGTGGCGTTTGCTCAAAGTAATCGCAAGTGGCTCGTTCAATGAAAGTAGCGTGTAACATGTTATGTTAAAACTCACGGCTCTCTCAAATATAATATTTAGTTAAAAAAAACAATTATATTTGCACAACAATTTTTATTAGTTTATCATATATTAATTGTACTTAAGGTTTTCAATTTTTGCTCATTTTATCTTCAACCTTTTATTAGCCTTTTTCGGCAGCTTGTAGTTTTTATTGCCAAAAACTCCAAGTACTACTCACTGTCTTAAATGCTTATGTTCTCGACTTTGTTTTTCGTTGTATTTTTATCATCGAACTTTCATTAATTAATACAATTTGCTCATCCTTTTGGAATAAAATATGTCCCGACTAACTTTTGGAATAATTGTACTCTTCGCATCATCCTTTTCCTCACATTTTACCTTTTTTTTTTTTTTTTATCTCTTACATGTATATGTCCTCCTCTCGTGTCCACTATTGCCTCCTATAACCTTACTTAGGACAGCTAGGGAATATACCAAGCGATTCTGAAATAGCAAAATGAGTGGGGTAATAGGTCCCAACAAGGAAAAATGTGCATAACTGGAGAGTGGCCAACGAGGAGAGGGAAGGACGGCATAGGTTTGCATAGAGATGAACTTGAGGCTAGACACGAGGTTACTAGTCAAGTGAATGGTGAACCCCATACCTCGAGGAGAACCTCCTTTTCCCACTCCCATTATGGCACATATTATGACAATAAAAAGGGGCCCACGAGGTCTTTTCAGATGAGGTAAAAATTTCGTAGACACCATTTTTGTGCTTCACTGTGTACCCTTCCCCATTTGCAAAGTTATAAGGGACTATATGACATTTCCTAAGACGACTAGGTGACTGGATCACTTTCAATTACATGATAATGGTTACAGTTATACAATTAAATATATGATAAAAACATGAACAAGTCTTGATGTACAATCATTAGAGTGTTGTAATTTTTACAGCACTCTCACATTAGTGTGTGGCCCACTACTTAATTAATTAGCGGACTCCACACTAATGTAAGAGTGTTGTAAACGTTACAATACTCTAATCATTGTACCAATTGATTTTTCCTAAAAACATTGTCGACGGCTAGTCAGCAAGAGTTAAATGTTATAAATACACTGCCTCAGTCTTCTACAAGTACTTCAATCCAGTAAAGGATCATAAACTCAAATCTTTTGTTCGTTCATCTATTCCACACGTAGCCCCTGTTTGGTTTGGATTAAAATCTCAAGTCAAAGTCAACAATTAATTTTAACCACACATTTCATCAAATTTTCATAGATCTACAATTACTAATTGTTATCTACATATTTCATTAAATTTACAACTTACAATCACTTCAAAACATCCCATTAATCTTTTGTTTTTAGCTAAGATGGCTTTTGTTGGTGCTCATAATTAGTTTTTGAAAGAAGGAAAAAAAAAAGAAAACTCTTGTAAGTGGATGCCCGAGAGAGACTGCCACGTAGCCACATTCACTTCGGTGACTAGACTTTCACCAGCCAGGCGTCTAGCGTCTTTCTCGTACTCTCTCTCTCTACACCACTTCACAACAAAATACATCTCCTCTTCTTCACTTCACTCCTCAATCATCACAATTTCAGATTACTCTCTCTAGGGTTCCGGATTCTAAAAGCTTCTTATCCTTTCTCTTTTTCCGATAATGAGCAAGTTTACTTGATTCGAATATCGGATTCGGATCGGATTTACTTTTTCCCCTGATTATTTAATAATATTTCGTTTTTTCTTTATTTTCTTTTTTTAATTAATGGATGATGGTGAAATAAAGTTACTTTAATGATGGTTGCCGATCTGTGTTTCTGGATGTATCAGATGCTTTGAATGTAAGAGCCGATCATTATTTTGTTTTTGATTTTTGTTTTTATTTGGTTTATAACTTTATTATGAAGTGTGCGAGATGGAAAGAAATCAGATAAGTTCAATCAGCTTTATGGAATTATGCAAATATTTTATTGTTTTGTTTTTGAATTTGTGATTAAATGAAGGTAACGAGATGAAGATGTGAGTGGAACTTGTTTTTTGTTTGCCATATTCAGAAATATCTAAAGAAAGAAAAGTTGAAAATGATGTAAAATGGCTATTTATCTGGCGAATTAATAATTGTGGAAGCTGAATATGTGAGTTTCTTACTATTGCCATAATTACCAAAAACAAGGGCAAGAGCTTTACAGTTATATATGTGTAAAAGAAGTATTTGGCTACTGTATATTTTGCTTAAATATGGAATCAAAAGATAGGAGCTTTATCTGTACACTGATTTTGGTATGCCCAAACATGAGAAAAAAAGAAGCAGGTGACAATGGTAGATTAAAGACATTTTTCTCTCGTTGGTTTTGATATTCTTTGAAGTTGTTAACTCAGTATTTGAAAATGATGGATCTTATGTTCATGATTTGCGTAGACATGAGGGTTAACACAAAGATCCTAATTTCTTCTTCTTTTTCGTGCATTGCGTTAGATTTGAAATTGAGACCCAAGACGGTTGCTTTAGATGTTATGCAACAGCTTTCTGAGGTCTGTGACTCTTCGACCAGGGAATATTGCAAGATACACTGAGTTAAGGCAGTTAGGCTATATCCGGAGAGGATTGAATGCACCACAGTGCTTAACTTATTTGTCGGATTTCAAATCTACAACAAGAAGAAAGATGATGGTGGATTCTGGAGCAAACGCAAAGGGGGGACCTGTTATTGACAATTTACCAGAGAAGGACGAAGATGGAGGATATGCTAGCGGAGGGTGGAAGAGGTGATCAAATTTGTAGATTTTTAAATTGCTCGTGTGTCTATGGTCAATTTTTGCAATACATTATTAGTAGTCTTAGTAGAAAATCTTACATTATAGTATTCATTTTTGTATGTGGTGACTAAGGTTAGTTGACATTATTTACGGATTGGATTGGTTGCAAGCTTTTGCGCTCTAGTCATAGGGTTTTCGTTTACTGTATGATCTATAGCAGATTCAGTTGGCATGTGTAACTTCATCAAACACGGTCATCTCATGTAATTTCTCTCTCTCAGCTTCTTGATGAAATCTGGCTCCTTTTCATTTTCTGTCCATTCATTTGTTTTCTGAAAGGCGTGAGAGGATTTGTCAGAATAATCTTTATTATCAAACTGGAAAATGCTTCTGGAATGCCCTCTTGTTGATGCATATTCCAGTGATGGTTTGGAACAACGTTAATCATGAGCTTTTATTGTTTTATCTAGACACGTGGCAGGCTTGTTACACGGTATTGGGATAAAGAGAATGAGGATGAAAGACACTTGTGAACTATAGATCTGGACAAAGTGACGAAGCAGAACCCATCTATGCAGTATAGAAAGATACGAAAAATTGCTAGAGATACAAATTTTTCTGCTAAGTTGTTGATGGGTCCAAAATAAATGTACATATAGCATTTATTGTATCTTATTATTGCCTACAACACTAGTATTGGTAAAGTGGGGTTTGAGTTTGTGGTACTGTAGCTTGTTCCATATCTGGGTCTCGTTGGGTGTTTCTAATGTGCTTTAGAAAACGTTAAATCACAAAAAATGAACATCTTCGGTTGGGTATGTTCTAACAAAGGACTTATATTACATGTCTGGGTATATTTTCTAAAATTAGATTTTATTTGAATTTTTAGGACCAGGAGATTCCTGTTCAGGAATATTTAATTTCTTATATTATTTGTTATATTAATAAGATGTTTCTTTGAGTAATATGCTGGAGGAAAGAGAAAGTGTTCAGACTATGTTACAGGAAGTTAATATATTTCCTCGGCTGAATATGCATAAACTCAGTGTTAATGCAATGTTAACTTGCTCATTATGTCATACACCATAATTGGAAGATACGAACATAATATAATGTTTTTCTTTCTTTCTTTTTTTTTTCCCTGCCGAATGGAAATATTTATAATGTTATGGAGACTTTTCTCCCTTCTTTCCTGCCTATATGGACATGTATATCACATGCTTATTTTTCCCTCGAGTCACACTTGCTCTTGGATTTTTTCCTATCTGGCAGTGAAGATGGAAGCTTGAGCTGTGGATATTCCAGTTTTAGAGGAAAGAGGGCGACTATGGAGGATTTTTATGACATTAAGACTTCAAAGGTCGATGGACTAACAGTCTGTCTCTTTGGAATATTTGATGGTTAGATGTTCTCGAATTACCCTTCACCTTGAAGCTTGAGTTGTTGATATAAAAAAAGTCTTAACCTGCTAAAGTGACAGTTTATGATGTTAATGGCCAAACTCAAGTACAGACTGACTATCCAAAATTGCATCTTACTGCATGCATGAACGAAAATCTTGACATTGTTATCGTTTTGACCTTGGTAAAACTTAAAGATGCATGTAAATTGCCTATTTTGCAAGGGAATACCCAATTCCAGCTTCAGTTGGTGCTGGAAATTATATGGTGGAAGTTTCTAATATGTGTTATGGTAGAAGTTTCTAATATGTGTTAGCTAAATTGGTTTAAATTTCTTATTTCTAATATGATAGACTCTAAAATCAGGCCTTGTAAGTTTTCAGTTCGTATATAGCTTGAAAATTTGTTTGTCCATGTCTATTGAATAAGGATTATTCTTAGTGTACATAATATATATACATAGGGGTGTCCATACCGCTCACATGGGGTGGGACCTATAAAAATGTGGGCCACACCCCATGTGAAGGGTATGGACACCCCTATGTACATATATTATGTACACCAAGCACAACCCATTGAATAAATGGAGGTGACTGATGGTAGAAAATGGACTCATGGATCTAAACTAAATAGGGAGTTCTGGATACTTTTACCAATTTAGTGCCTCACACCCCTCACTCCCGGTAGTTACCCAAGAGGTGGACCTGGTAACTATGACTAGCCCAAAACATAGTTTATCTCATTTTATCGCATTAAACAGATATCACAAAAAAAGGATCAAAGTTAACTAGTGTAGTGAAAATTTTAAATTTGCATATTTCGGATGATCAATTCGTCATTTTCAAGTTTAGTGCTTCATCAAATATCCTGCTTCCTCTGTTAATATTACTTAGCATGGGCATTTCACTTAATTATAATTAGAAATTGATAATCTTACATTTATGACGAATATGATTTTTGATGACAGGTCATGGTGGTTCACGTGCAGCAGAGTATTTAAAGGAACATCTCTTTGAGAATCTCATGAAACATCCAGAATTTATTACAAACACCAAATTGGCAATAAGTGAGTTAATAAATTTACGATAAAGAGTAGTCTGGTTGTGCAGACAACATGAAACTTTAAACCTGATTACTTTTGGGGCTCTACTTTGGGGATTCACTACATGCGGTGCCTTGATCCTACTCCAATTTCATACAGAAAAAATCAACATCTTTAATAGCACAAACCAACCCATGCTCTGGTGGGGACAGTTTCAGGAGCTTATATTTACCATCCTGCATATTGTTGCTATTCCTATAACTAACCTGACTCTAGCTTATCTTTTGCTTTCTATGCTGTGAAAAAAATATCCTCTCTTTGCATGGTTACTGGCTTTCCTTATTGGTCATACATGGCTCTCGGTTTAATTAGTGGTAAACCGAATTAAGTTATTTAAAACCACAGGTGAAACATATCAGCAGACTGACAGAGATTTTTTGGAGTCTGAGAAAGATACTTTCCGGGATGATGGTTCAACAGCTTCAACTGCAGTTCTAGTTGGCAATCACCTATATGTTGCTAATGTTGGAGATTCGCGGACGATAGTATCAAAGGCAGGCAAAGGTACTTTTCATATTGTAGATTTCTTTTCCTTTTCTAGGTAGTAGTATACTTTTCATATGGTATGTTGCCTTCTAACCATTTATCATTCTATGGACACTGTACAGAAAAGAAGCCTCCAAATATTCTGAGTGAAATTCATAAAACAATTTTTAGCCGCTACTGGATTGCAGGAATATGGGATCGATAGACATTGTTTGGGAGACAATGTGTTTTGTTCAACTAATTTTGATTAGCAGATACGTTATGAAAACAATGATAACAATACTTGTGTCAATGTTACTTAGATAATAAAAGTATGATTTTTCGTCCGAAGATGTAATGAATAATCAGTTGATATTATATTTCATGATGATTATCATTTCCTACTTTCCCTTTCCCTTTCCCTTAATTTTTCCATCTGGATGCTAGACATCCTGGTCCTGTGGAAACTGTAAGGGTTTATAAGATATGATCTTATTGTCTGTTAAATCAAGTTGTTTTACTGTTGAAATATTTCACAGTGTTCAAGGCTTAACAATATTTATTCAAGCTGGTTTCTGTTTTTCAAAAGATTATTAAAAACTGAGAGCTTGATTCAATACCAGCAATTGCTGTTCACATGATGAGGTAACCTAAACATTAATGGGTGATTTGTTTCTCTTAAATTACATGTTTTCAAATCCAAGAACTAATGGATTAATATCTATCTGATAGGAAAACGAACCAAATTCCTTTGGCATAATCTTACGAAAAAGTTCTACATTTTAACTCATCATAAAGATTGTATATAATATCTTGCCCTGTATTCTTTCTGCATTAGGTTACTTCTTATATGGATCTCAAGATAATAATTATCTGTGACCATTCAAATATAGTTATGATTATTTGCATTGCAAAAATTTTGAGGCCAGAAATTCTTTCGATTGTAACTTCTGAAGTACACTTCATTTTTGGGCTTGGCAGCAATTCCACTCTCAGAGGATCACAAACCAAACAGAAGTGATGAGCGGAAAAGAATTGAAAATGCTGGAGGTGTTGTAATGTGGGCAGGTACGACCCATCTTGAACATTAATAATTGTGCTCATTGCAATTTTCTTAGCACTATTTCTGAGCATCTCTTTTCAACAAATGCATAGAGATGGTATTATTGACGAAAGGGTGTTTTGTTCATAAGTCAACTGCCAAACAAATCAAATGTATCAGCTCAAGCTTTCTTTTGATTAGCAACATAATGCAGATGTGTATCTTTTTCTTCTGAAAATAATATATTGAGATTCATATTTTCATGATGGACGTCATATGTTGTAGGTACAACTGTAGTCTGAATGATGGACCGCCTAGTCCTTGTATATCAAATGGAGTTTAAATCTCTGGTTGCTTTTTCAATCTGTGGTCCGAATCTCTAAAATAATATATATATATACACACACACACACACACACACAAAATTCCAACCATGGGACACCAATCAAACATCTGGCCCCACTCAAAAGCATTTTACATCAGTAGTGAAGGAAGAAACTATGTTAGCACTTCCTTCCGTAACATCTTAAAACTGTGTTGCTGTGTGAGAAGAATAGGTTATTAGGTCATTTGGAAATGGTTAGTAAAATTGTTTGGGAGGTTTAAGATATTCGACATTGATAGTTAGGTTCGAGATATTGGGCACTGATCATCGAAGTCCAAACTCTTGTCATTTTTCTGAGTCAAGTAGTTATCGAGCCAAGCAAAATGATATCTTTGTAAGGATGTTGATTACTGTAATGCAAGAGCTATCAACCCACATTTGGAAATGGTCTTGAAGAAAAGTTGTGTGCTTCCATATAGCTGACTGACTTTCTATTTATTGCATTTGTATCAGGCACTTGGAGGGTCGGAGGTGTCTTGGCCATGTCCCGTGCTTTTGGAAACCGCATGCTGAAGCAGTTTGTCGTGGCTGAACCTGAGATTCAGGTAGCCCTATTTATTACTGTTATATTTCTTTATGTATAGCTGTACGAGTTACCTTGTTCTAGTACCTGCCTGATCAAAATTCAAAGAGATTGTTTGTGCCTATCTCCAAGGAAGGATTATTAATGAAGCTCGACCATGGAGATATAATCGACTCATTATTTTACAGGAACAAGAGATTGACCAAGAGCTTGAACTGCTTGTGCTCGCAAGCGATGGACTTTGGGATGTTGTGCCCAATGAGGTTATCAGAATCATAAACTACTATTTTTATTCCTTTTCATCAGAATCATAAACCACTATTCACCGTACAATATAATCAATTAAGTCGGAGATTAATTTAAATTGCATATTTATTTCGTTTCTGAAAAGGACAAATTACATATTTTCTTGTGTATTAAGTCATGGTAAAGTAGCTGATTGTGTCCACCTATTTATCAGGATGCTATCTCAGTTGCACAAATAGAAGACGAACCTGAAGCAGCAGCACGGAAGTTGACAGAAACTGCTTTCACCCGTGGTAGTGCTGACAATATTACCTGCATTGTTGTGAAGTTTCACCACAACAAAACAGAACGTGAGGAAACCAATCATACTTTCAAATCAAACACCGAGGAAACCCTGCGAACTTCCAAACCAAACTCTGAGGAAACCCAGCAAACCTCTGAAGGAAACTCAGGGGAAACCACGAAAGATTGCAAGTCGAATCCCGAGGAATCCCAAGAAAGTTGATGATTTTTGTTGCCATTGTATTTGCAGTTTATCTAGGTGCAAATATGCTTTGATCACATTGAAGGGACGATTTGTTCATTCATTTGTTTGTTCCTTTGTAATGTCTTGTATGTTTGAATTTCAGTGTATAATACTCATAAAGACATCATCTGCGTAAATTTTATGGGTGGTCTAATTTAATAAGAAATGGCTTTTAAAATTTTTCATTCTCCTCTATGCCACCACCCAACACCCTTCCTCCTTTCCAGTACCTTAGATGGCAAACGGGATCGAGCCCTCTCAGCTTATGCCTTGACAAGGGTGGTGGTGTGAGAAAAATATGGGAATGCAATGATACAGAAACATATCAACCTAGAAACTAAAGATGGTACACGATGTCATTAGCAAACTAAGAATTAAAGAATACCTGGTGACTCCAATACCTCCTGCGTAGGCGATCTATAATTGTAGTACTGTCGTCGATGATATTTTTGTAGGTAATCACTGGTGGTATTGTTAAAATTTTGTTTTAATAATCAAAAACTACGGTCATTTGCTTCATTTAAATATTATTATTGACAAAAACTTCCAAGAAATTGAGCCACCTCTACTCCCATGCAAGGTTATAACAATGGATTATCACATTCAACTACGCATGATTTCGAGTTGATCGCGTTCTAGCTTAGAATTGCATAGAGAAGGACTTGATATAATCTATTCCACCTTGGGTAGCAATGTAATATCCTAACAATCTATCACGCTTTATTTGCATATCAATATATACACTTACAATATTTCATTGTATCTCCCAACATAAATTCCTCGATTACAGAAACGAATTATTGAAGAGTCTTCCGATGAAACCTCATTTCCTTTTTGTTGGCAAATTGCGACATTCTCAAAATTATCTTTCAAGATGATGAACGCCGTATTTATTAGAAAAATTCTTGTGACGTCAGAAGCACGGAACATCTTAACTTATAGGATGGTATCCATTGTTAGCCACGAACTCATTGATGCTTCAAAGGTCGAGAGTCTACTATTTTTTCAATATTTAAATAAAAAACGAACCATTCGAAAATACTTTATCTCGAAGGTAAATATATCATATAAAGATACATAAAAGTAACCCTAGTTAAGTTCAAAGGGTGAATAAACATCAGTTAGATAGAACCTTAGTTAGGGTTAACCCCCCAAAAGTTGTTGTAAACAAAGGCAAGCCCATGCCTGTCTGTCTTTTACAATTATAGAATATATTTGGGCATTTTCAGAATTTTCTTCGAGGGGTTTTGACCAAAAAATTTCAAGCTTTCTCTACAGAATTTCTCCCCATTTCAATTTGGTGGGAAAAAAACCCCCAAATTCCACTTCCGGCGGTTCAAATTATTATTTTAATCGGTAATTATTTCTTTTATCCTTGCACTTTCAGAGTTTGCAGAAATTTTAGGTTAATTTATGAAATTGATACTGAATCTAGGATTCTATGTGGAGTGCTGAATAAGAAGGTTGGGAAATGGAAGTTAAACTTTGTTGTTTTTTTACGGGCTCAATTTCCTGGATCTATTAGGAATCTCAATTTTTGAATTTTGAGTTTGATTTTGGATTTGTGAATTTTAAACATATTTGGGGTAATTTTTGCTGGTTGTTGTGATTTGCGATCTAATTTACAATTATAGCTGTTAAATTGAGTTCATAGCGTCGGGCGTAGTGATTGATAGAAGTAGAATCATATTATGCGATTCTGCAACTCAATTACTGTTGGGTTGATTCTCCGTGTTTTCTGCAATTTGCTCAAGGGCTGTTGGTCTGAAACTGTCTTTTTATGATTTATCTTTTTTCCTTCTTCTCGTCGATTTCAGAGGAACTTGCAATTCAAACTTGGTTTAGAATTTTATGCTTATCTGAAGAATATGTGATGACCCCAATAGCCAATTCTATTCTCATTTTTTTATATACTGCTCCAACCTCCGTGGCAGGCATATATAACTCAAATCCAATTTCTTGTAAATGATGGTGCATTAACATAGAGTTAAATAAACGAATGCTCACTGAATTTTACTCTTGATTACCACTTGCTCACCGAAAAATAAAAGGTTACCGAATGCTCACTCAACTATTCATAAATTTACCCATCCATCACTATGCCCAAATCTGTCTGTACAGTTGGAAAATAAATTCCACGTAGATATAAAAAAATGACTTGGATGATGAATTAAGTCCACATCATCTAAAATTATTATTTTTTAAATCCCGAAATCATTAATTATTATTAATCGTTTTCTGACGAGCCAAAATCAAAGTTCTAAGAAATCAGAAGGATGAAATTTTCATCCCCAAATCCCCTTCATCTTCAAATCACATCTTCTAACTAACTCATTCAATTGGTGATCCCAGCTTTGTAATCCATATCCAAGGAGCTCTATATCTACATCCCAATTAATTGAATTTACACGGTGCCGAATTACTTCTGCAATACCAATAGGATATAATCCCATCTCCTTTACGGCTTTACCTCTGCAATACCTACAGGATATAAGCCAATCTCACGATTCAGAGAGTGGATGAAGAGATTTCCATGAAAAATTGACTGATTTGGTTCTTCATAGGGTTAGATTTCAATTGGGGATTTTAGATTTGTCTCTTCCTTTGTTGGTGATGGAGGAACGACCAAGGGTATAAATCAAAACTTCACAGATTGTCCATTTCCCAATTGTAGAAATTGATTTGGAGAACAAACCTAGCAGCTTGACTGGAGAAAGCAGACTAATTGAAAAAAAAAAAACTCATAAAATCAATGAAATGAACACAACCCAGCATGTAATGGTAAAAATTACAGAAGTTTATGCGTAAACCATGTTATAAAAGGAGGGACGAAGGTGCTTAATGGAGGAAGAGAATCTGCGGAGTGCCATTGCCACATTGTTCCTTTGGTTATTCTCCCAACAACACAATCACAAATTCACAGATTGTATGGGTTTTTTTGTGTCTTTCTTGTTGCGATCTTTTTTTTTTTTTTTGATTGAAAATGTGAGAAGTCGTGTTTATCTCGAACAATTTACAACCACGTGGAGTGTTTAACTGATTCCGTTTGCCACGTCACTTTTCCGTCTGCCATGTGGGATTTTTTGCCTATTGTACAAACGGAGAATGGCCATAGTGATTGATGGGTAAATAAATAAATAGTTGAGTGAGCATTCGGTAACCTTTTATTTTTCGGTGAGCTAGTAGTAACCAAGAGTATACTTCAGTGAGCATCCATTTAATTAACTCCATTAACATACACCTATGCATTTTAGGTGTAACCTTCACTTTACCCAAATTCGACTGAACTTCTGTAAAACTTCTATAATCACTTCAGTTTATCTTTGCCTTTGAATTGGGTTTTTGATATTTTAAAGTACCATTATTGTTGAGAGGTCCTTAGGGTTTCAAGTTCAGTTATTTGTTTCTTATATTCTCACTGATTTTTTGGGTGTTTGTACAGTTGCCATGCCAAATTAAGACTATACCAAAAAAAGGTGAACAATTGGGAGCCAAACCATTGTTAAACTATGGAGTGCAATAGAGATGAGGCCCTCCGGGCAAAGGCAATTGCGGAGGGCAAGTTAGAGAAGAAGGATTTTGCTGGCGCTAAAAAATTTGCCATGAAAGCCCAAACATTGTATCCAGGACTGGAGGGTATTTCCCAAATGTTGACAACGCTTGATGTGTATATTGCTGCGGAGAATAAAATAAGTGGAGAAGTAGACTGGTACGGAGTGCTTGGTGTCAACCCCTCGGCTGATGATGAAACAATAAGGAAACAATACAGGAAATTGGCTCTCACACTTCACCCAGATAAAAATAAATCTGTTGGTGCTGATGGTGCTTTTAAACTTCTTTCAGGGGCCTGGAGCTTGTTATCTGATAAGGCTAAGAGGTTGGCATATAACCAAAGGAGGGGTTCTAGAGGATTCCAACAGAAAGTTCAAATGCACGCTGGTGGTACATCAGCAGCATCCAGAGCAAATGGATATCATAATACTGGAAGTAAGATAACATCAGTTACAAAGACCCAAAACAATAGTGCACGGGTGCCACCTCCATCAGTTCATACACCATCATATGAAAGAACTGATACTTTCTGGACTATTTGTCACCGATGCAAGATGCATTATGAGTATCTTAAGATATATCTCAATCACAGTCTTCTGTGTCCTAATTGTCATGAGGCCTTTATGGCTTCAGAGACTGCTCCACCATTCAACTTTTCTAAATCATGCAATCCTGCATCTCGCCAACGGCATCAGAATTTGAATAATCATGCACCTGATAGAAATCATGTTGATCAGGAAAGAAAGGCTGCAGCTGCTCAAAAATCAGGACTTGGACAAGCAGGTCCTAATTTGTATGGATATAGAAGCTACCAGCAGGTTCCTCATTCTGGAACAGCTGGTGCTGGCAATACAGATCCTTCTATAGCGGCAAAAGCAGCAAATATTGTTCAGCAGGCACAGGAGAAAATGAAGAGAGCATGTCCTGAACCACCTGCTAGTTGGGAAGGAGAGGTAAAAAAGAGAAAAATAGATGACTACTTCGGCGCAAACACTACACATAACTTGGCCGTGGGAAGTGGAGGTTTTGCAAGTGCAGGTGCATCGGGATCTAGGATCTATGGTTTCTCTGGCACTAATAATAAGCCCAACAGCACCAGAGACCTGAACCCACTAGAAATGCGAAACATGCTAATGGAGAAGTCTCAAAAGGAGATTTTGAAGAAGTTGAAGGAATGGAGATTGGAGACTGCAACAAAGGCTGCAGATAAAGTGAAAGAGAAGGCAAAAGAGGGCAAGAGAAACAAACACAGAAGCACCAGTGGGCGTGATCAGAATGGCAATGGTGGGTTGTTTGCTCCCATGGAAGTAGGTCAGGGGAACAAGTGTCTTGCCAGCCATTCTGCTGTTACTGCAGATAAGGAGGACACTGGCGCAGCATCTATGAATGTTCCAGATCCCGATTTTCATGATTTTGATCAGGACAGAGCTGAAAGTTCTTTTGGAGATAATGAGGTTTGGGCTGGTTATGATGATGATGATGGTATGCCTCGTTTCTATGCTCTGATTAGTAAGGTGATCTCAAGGAATCCATTTAAGGTCAAGATCAGCTGGCTTAACTCAAAAACTAGTAGCGAATTTGGATCCCTAGATTGGGTAGGTTCAGGATTCTACAAAACATGTGGTGAATTTAGAATCGGCAGATATGAAATCTGCAAATCTATCAATTCTTTCTCCCAGAAGGTTAATTGGTCAAAAGGCCCACGTGGGACAATTCAAATATTACCCACAAAGGGCGATGTTTGGGCACTCTACAGAAATTGGTCTACTGATTGGAATGGGCAGACCCCGGATGAAGTTGTACGCAAATACAACATGGTGATGGTACTTGATGAATACAATGAGGAACAGGGTGTGTCCGTCGCTCCTCTTGTTAAGGTGGTTGGTTTCAAGACAGTATTTTGTCCAAATTTGGACCCTCAAAAGGTCATGAGAATACCAAAAGAAGAGATGTTCCGATTTTCTCACAGGGTCCCAAACTACTTGCTTATGGGTGATGAAGCTGAAAATGCTCCAAAAGGTTGCTTAGAGCTGGACCCAGCAGCTACCCCATTGGAACTTCTTCAGGTGATTACGGCAGCTAATGAGGTGCCAGTGATGCCTCATGGTGAAGATTCTAAGAAAGAGGTATTGCAGAGCTCTCCAGATAGTAGGTTAGACAACATTGCTAATGGGGCCTCAGAGGCTCAGGAAGTAGAGATGACAGAAAACAGTCTGGAGCCCGAGAAAGTGGGGAAAACGGTCTTTGAAGGGTAGCCAGGGAAGCAGTGCTTCTTGTACCGTGCTGGAAGTTTTTGAACAAATGTGCAGAATGCTGGATATGACCAGTGCATATGCCTTTTCCATTGCTGGAGTCCCAAGCATAATTGAAGGAGTGGTGTTTTTCTGTGGAACCGGAATTGGGTGTATACTTTTGTTCTTCATTTTGAACTCGATAAATGTGGAGACCTTGAATTAACCCCAGTTTTGACAGTTAATGGAGTATAGTAATGAAGATGAAGAACATTCTTCTTTTCTGCTCTAGATAAAAGTGAACGCTTTCTGCCTAGAGTACTGAATATCATGTATAAGATAAGGGGTGTATTCTTTTTGTGATGTTGCTTGATTCTAATGTTAAAAACATGGAAATTCATTGTCTTAGAAAGTTAGAAAAATTTATAAGTTGTAGGTTCATTAATATTTTGCAGTGTCTACTTTTCACAATGTCATGGAATCGAGGAGCTCGAGTTTATTGTTCTTTTGCTTTGAAAATTCATCGAATGGTTTTTCTATTTCAATTCTGTTAAAGATAAACTTGCATCTTTGGTGCATCTTTCGTACATCAAAGTTAGTTTACCCATTGGCTATTAAAGCATTTTGTTTCAATCCATTAGGCAGAGGAAAGCTAATTTATATTTAGATGCAATCTTCAATACTCCCCTTGTGTGCAGGTCGAATTCAGTTTTATATTTTCTATTTTTGTGCAAAATTGGCAACGAGACTTGAACTTGGGTTTTTTGTTGGCTTGATACCATGTAGAATCTGCTCAACTAAAAGTTTAAACTATTAGAATAAGAACCCATTTATTCAATTGTAGTTCGACCACATGGAAGATACATGATGAACAACTTTGTATATTACAAGTTCACAACAAACTTATTTATTTAATAATGCAGCAGAAAATCACAAATGATACCAGTGAAGATCTCAAGCCGGTGCATCTGCAGGTGAAGACACCATTTTGAATACATTTACAGGATCTCCCACTTTAATGCTCTTCTTCTTTCCTTGAGTTAGGGAATCAATACAAACCATGTTTTGTCCAAAATATACCTGCAAAATCAAGTGCTCAAGTTGATTTAGTAGGTTTATAGAAAAGCAGAAAAAGAAATGCCAGCTATAAGAACAGAACTCACCTTCCCCTGCTGTTTCTTGTTCGGACGCAAGATTTTATCAGAACGGAAGTTCATAAGAGTTTCGGTAGGCTCAGAGCCTGCTACCGCACTTTCTTGATTAATTGTGGGTACCTATGAATTATGAAATATATATATATATAGTTCAAGAACAGACACTCCAACATTCAAAGATAAAAATCAAGTGTTTGAATTCAGGAACTCATTCTACAAGGCTTGTATTACCCCTTCGGAGTTGACAATAAATTAATGGTTATGAATGCATTGGTCACAGGAAAAAAAAAAAAATTTGTCAACATAATTTTAACCAGTTTGAAGCATTTGTACAAGTGTCAATTTAATCTATATGCAATTTTTATATGCAATGTGTTGGATTAATGTAACAGGCCCAATTGTTGGACTGACTTAACGATTGTGGGCCAAATGAATTAATTGGATTAAGGGAAAAATTTACTTTCCCTACTTTATCTTTACCCTATTTCAAAAATAACAAAACAACTTTTACATTTTACAAATCAGAAATTTTGACTTATACATACACATTTATATAAATATTTATTTATACATATAAATAAATAAATAAATA